CTCAAGTCCTACTGTAGGGTGATACCCTTGGGTCCTCAAGTCCTACTATTGGAGGTACTCTTGGGTCCTCAAGTCTTACTACTGGAAGGTACCCGAGTGGGTTCAAATTTTTTTCCCTTTATTGTGAGGGCAAGTGATGGGCATGTTCGGGCCAATCATAGGGTTATCGAGGGTGCTCTATCGATTGATGGGTATATGTAGGGGTGCCCACCCGTCCTATCACTGAGAAATAGAATCCTGCCATTTGATTGGTCCAAAAATAGACCAATCAGATTTCAGGAGCCGTTTTTTCTCTTATTCTAAGGACAAAACGTAGCCATGTTCGGGCCGACCATAGGGTTATCGAGGATGCTATATCGATTGATGGGTATATGTATGGGCTCCTACCCAGTGAAACACAGCGAAAATACAGCTTTGGTATTTGTCCTTGAGGACCCAAGGGTACCCCCCAGTAATAGGACTTGAGGACCTATGGGCACCCCTACAAGGTAGCCCTCGAGAACCTATGAGTACTCCTAGAAATAGTTAGGTTCGTTCGAATGAGCTGTTCGAAGAGTTCGGCTCATTTGAAATGAGCTGTTGAAAAAGCTCGGTTTGCTCGAGTGAGCTGTTCTAATAGTTCAACTCATATGAAATGAGCTGTTTCAAAAGCTCGGTTCGTTCAAATGAGCTGTTCTAACAGTTCAGCTCATGTGAGATGAGCTGTTTGAGAAAGGTCAGTTCTCTCAAATGAACTGTTCGAATAGTTCAGTTCGTCTCAGTGAGCGTTTTCAACGGCTCATTATTTGTGAGCTTGAGCTGAGCTTGCGTACCCCTACATCCACCCACATGCACATCCACACCTGATATCCACACCCTGTGCTACCGTTCAGTTCGAGACGATTGATATCAATGTAGGCAGTTGGACACGATAAGTTTTTGAATAGTGTCGAGATCACCTGCTCAGCAAGCCTAATAGAGATCATTGGCTTCGCCCTATTCAGAATGACAAAGAATTAATGCCTCATTCTTCTCTTCGATGCTTGTACCCGTTTCCATTTGTCGTGTGCTCCACTGAAAAGACGAAAGAAAGTTATGTTCATTTCTGCAAAAGCAAAACAAGAAATAATTTAGAGGTGAGGGTGCGGCTGAGAAGGGATATGGGATCTAGGTGTGACTGTAGCAGTAGGTGTTGTTGTAAATATTCTTCTCACACCCACATCTACATTCTCATCCAAAAATGAATGAATTTTTTTAATTGATGATAAAAGCAATTCTTTTCTCTAACAATGCGACTGCATCTTTGTTTCCTTATTGAAAAAGAAAGATAAGATCTTAAAGATAGCGAAAGACTTTGTTTTTAGGGTTTTATTCATAGACATGATATCTAGTCGTAAAAATGCAAGTTTAATCTATTCCTATGGTCTAGGTTGGAGTGTGGAGTGTAGGCAGCCCCCGCGCGAGCGGGGGGGAGTTGAGGGGGTGTGTACCCCCCCCCCCCAAATCAAGATTTTTCTGTTTTTCCCAGCAAAAAAGGCAAATTTTTGCTATTTTTTACGTTTTTCTTAGAGATTTCTGTTGAAAATATTCCTCTGCACCCCCCTAAACCGCCAAACACCCCCCCCCCAAAGTCTGATCCTTCGCGCGGGGCCTGGGTGTAGGTGTCAATGCTGATGTGCGTCCAATGTCAGTGTTGTTGTGTAGTTGAGTGTGTGTTCGTGTGATTCTTTTCTTCATCTATTCAAACAACTACACTCATATCCACACCCACATCCCGATTTTAATGGAATTTTCAGCACTTGTAGAGCTTGTAACTCTGAGTATTTCAATAAAAATAATAATTTTAAATGCTTTTGTTTTGATGGAGATAGACTTAAGATACTTTAATTCTTTGAGAACAAAGTCTGTATATTTATATGGTTTGAAAATTTTAATAGAAACCAAAGACTTTGCATTTATTAAACTAGATTTTTTCAGTGTTTTGTTTCTTTTCCTATCTCAAAGTTCTCTACTTAGGTCTTTGTAGTAAGAACACCATGTAAAAAAATTAGGCGAATCATCAGATTAAAATCGATTAAAATCATACGTCTCTTAATCGATTTTAATCAAAAATAATCCAAAAAATTAAAGTTTCATCAATTATTCTGATTATTTTCGATTATAATTGATTGAAAATTGTGTAAACGATAATAGTTTTAACCATTTGAGGACGGTGAGACATTATATATTCCACCTCTTTTCCAGTAGAGAAAAAAAATGTTCTATTTATATTAAACTGTTAGATCTAATTATATTTTAAGTATGCATGGTAAATAAGATTTAATTTCAATATCTCTCAAAAATTTATTCCAAACTCGCTAATATTTGTTTTCGAACGATAGACAGATATGAAAGTATATGTCAACATGAAAACTATAGATTTTATTTGTGATTATTATTATTGTTATTATTGATCGAGAGTACTGAGATCAATTTATATTGCTATCAATAGGAATATATACATAAGATTCTATCTATCTTGATAACTATTCAAAGAGGCTTATTCCCAAGAAAAGATCTATGAGAATACCGAGGATCGTCCTAGTATATGAGATACCGATCAAAATATAATTTTTTGGTTTTTTTCAGATGTATTCGAAAGGCCATCATCTAAACGATAAAAAACCAAATGTTTAGCTCATTAGGATGTACTATAGTAAAATTAGTCTACATGAACTTTTTAGCACTACATACCTACTATCAGGAAAATAGTCAAATATCGTCCTATAAATATCTTATAGAAGTATATTTCAAACAATCAGAGAATTTTTCATACTATATATCGAACCATAGAGTACCAAAAGCGAAAAAAATGGACTATTTCATATATCGTATATTGCATATGCCGAGAAAATTTCAGTGTTTTTGGTTGTCTCCGCAAAAATTCTAGTAAAATCATGATTAATTCCTATTAACTTTGAAAATCAACGGTAAAATAAGACTTGGTCATGATATTAATACGAAATGATTAATCGAAGAATTGCGCACAAAATATATATTAAATATATCACACTCTGGTTCTAGAAGTGTAATTATCACAAGACGAACGAAAATTGATTAGTGCATTTGATAGTAGTAGAGACTCACCAAGCGGGACACAATAAGTGATAACCATTCAAAAATGCCGCTGGTGATTTTTCCAGATTCATCACCACAGAAATCATAACAAACCTAGTTAAGACTACCAACTAATACATTGATCGAGTTTCACACACTTAGAAATACATATAGAGATCTGTTAAGAAGATTATGTAGTTGGTAGTATATGATTGCTGAGCTACAGTTGAAGTATTTAAAAAATGCTCACATTGTTTATTACTTCATTGGTGCTCAGACCGAGTGTGAATACGAGTAGTTGTTGAACTTCGCATAGCCCACACTCACACCTATAGCGCAGCATAATTATCATCATTATCAATATGCAAGAATGACTTATGGAAGTTGTTTAACAATATGAAATCAAATAATAAATACACATAAAACACAAAAAGATGAATAACTTATTTTCTCTTCATTTGATTCTATATAATTGATATTTTAATTGATTTGTTAAATTTTTTCAAATAATCAAAAGAATAATTTTCAAAATGATCCATATCATTCAAAAACGAATTTCTAAAGTAATTAATAGGTAAAATTAGTGATTTAAATATGTTGGTACTTCAAATCGATTCATGTTCATTTTTTCATGTAAACAATAATTGTTTTTTTTTTTTGTATAAACGAAGAAACTTTTTCCTGAACAAATGATTTTATTCGTTGAATGATAATGATAAACAAATTCTTTCTTCATCTATTTTTGAGATTATCATAAAGGAGATTGTTAGAGAACATTTCTAGAAAGATAACTTCGTGAAATCAAAAACATTTATTCTTCGATCTGGATTTAGTTTCGTTCTCTTTCTATGTGATTTCATTAGTGAATAGATTATTACGGCTTAAAATTCGTTTTAGATTAATTATCAAAGTAAATTTATTCGAAAGTGATCACCTTAGATTAAAATTAAATTAAAGAAATTAGTGAGGTCAAAAGAATGATTCACACACATACTATTGATGACATTCAATGTTATTTTCAAAACGAAACTAGACTTAAAATCGAGTATAAAATTCAATATCTTGTCATCCGAATCACGCGTATCTGATTGTGGTATTTACATCAAAGATTGGAAAAAAATTCTATTCGTTTCAATTTAATAATTATTCCTATCAGTCTCTCATTAATGTTACAAAGAAACAGAATTTGACATTAAATAAATGCACTTAGGCTACTTGTCTACAACACCTAATGCTTATTCATTCTTCTACTCAAACAATAAAGTTATGCGATTCTAAACGTATAAACATTATTTTGTGAGTAAAATATATTTAAAACGTGTTACGAACAAAGATACATCAACATAAAACATCAACAAGTTGTTTACCATTTCAAAAGCTTAGACAATGCAATCTACAGAAAGCAACAAAAAACTAAATCGCGTTCTGCATCTACGTTATCAAGTCGATATGTAAAACTAAATATGACGATCATTCAATCATTTTGTTCCATAGCCAAACTGATAGATTGAGAATGAGACCAACAATTCTATTTACGATTTTTTATTTGATTTTATAGTAGAAATAAGATGATCAGGTCGATTAGTGACGAGTTTGACCTATGTAAACGATGTTATTATTAAAAAAAAAGACAAGATCTTCATACGGGCTATTTTACTTTATTATATTTGCTCGCCCACAGTTGATGTGCTTGTATATTTTGACAATAAACATAGATTGACAAAACCTTTTCGTATTTATAAACTTTATGGACGAAATTTGCACCTAATCCACCACTCACTATCAGCATAAGAGGGCCTGTGGATGGTCTTTCGATGTATCTATCACATTCATCGTCATCCGTAAATTCTCTAATTTCAGAAAATTCACTTCGTAGTTTATTGAGTGTCTGTTTGTTTTCAGAGCTAAAAACATTTGCATCGAGGCACACCACCGAACCTTTCTTCGAATCGCTGTCGTAGGTTGATACACCAGCCATGGTTATGTGTATTAAAAATGGGAACCACTGTCACTCTCGACTGGTCTGATGGTTTCGTTTCCTTGATCTGGCGTGTAGTACTGCAATGGATAAGATCATTTGTAAAGAAAATTCTTTGTTATTCATTTGTTAAAATCATCACAAACGCATGTAACTATTGTAAGAGAATGTTGACAAAAGAAAAAAAAACAGCACGATACGCAAATACACGTTTTCGTGCACTTTCGCAAAATGTTTCGTTCTTCTAGATAATTAAGAGTAGTCTATGAATCGTGTTGGTTGATGAATTGTCTCGAAACAAATGCTTAAGAATGTTAAAAGCAAATTTCTCACTAAATTACGACTGTACTATTTCTCGATATATTTTTTAGAATGATTAGAACAATTGTAACGAATATATTTCATGTATAAATACAAATTGATCTGTTCGGTAAATCAATGTATATTGAAAGAGGTCGCTGTTAACATACAAACTATTCTATTTTTTGCATTGACGGCAAAAGCTGCACAGCATTGATGCAAAATATGTATCTTATCATATTCATTAATCGATTTCTTTCGAGAAGAGTCAAATCTAATATTACAATGTCTTCTAGTTTTGGGAGTACAATAACTATGCTCGTCTCTGATATGTCAACCACATTCTTTGTGTTTGATACATTGCACATCTTGTATGTGTGGGTATTAGTGATACTAAAAGAAAGATCCACACTCGAGCTAGTATATATTGCATGTGCACTGCATCTAGACACGTCTATATCCAGAAAAAATGTGTCGATAGATATTCTAGTTAATGGTACGCAATAGAATACATCTTTGTAACAGCGTTGGGAGCATGAAACACTAAAATTACATATGCACCATAAAGATTCTTTAAAATGATTTATTATTGAAGTAATATAATCTATAAATTATAAATAGAAAAAATTATATAGAACTTTCGAACTAAAACCTGTGGTACTTTGGCGGGAAATTCAGGATGAAAATTTGATTATTTTTGTTTTTGGTGTTTTTTAGTCTTTCGTATTTTTTCTACACAATAAAAGATATTTATCATGTATTGTGACTATGAATGTATAGAGGCCACGGCTAGCTAAGATTAACAATATCTCATAAAGTAAAAGCTATTAGTCAATATAAATAATTATTCATTTCTTATATAACTATCTCTCGTCGTATTTTGATTGTGTCAATTCCCTATTACGTATTTATTATATTTTTACTAGTCTATTATACACTCACACACAGTAGCTATCATTTGTCAATAGCATTTCACTTAATTGTTATCAGTTGAAACATAAAATGGAGATTGATTCTAGCAACGGTTATGGTGATCGTCGTTTTGATACTAGTCACAAGCGAAAGGTAACAGATAAATGATTGTACATGCTCATAGATACTTCGATATGCTTATTAACGATGATTTTTTGTTAAAATGGTTTATAAATGATATAAAGAATGCAGATAAATACGAAATAAACGAAAAAGAGAAAGATGGAGATGAAAACGCTGACATTAATATGAATGCAGGCGATAACATTGAATAAACTTTCATTAAATAGAATCATATTAAACAATATTCGTTCAGTTAGTAATTAGAGTAATTGATAATCACCAAATATCTTAGTTTTCTTTGCAAATAAATCGTTATCAACACGAAATAAACAAACTTTAAAAATTGATAAAATTCATGTCACATTTCTTTTCACATATCTTTTAATTTATGTCTCTTAGAAAGTCAATTTCATGATCTGCTAATATTATTATACCATTATACACTTGTCGTATTGATATGGGTTTTTTTGCCTTTGCTTTTATAATTTGAAGCTAGAATTAGTTATCAAAAATCAAATTTTATTTGATAGAAACACATATAAAAAATAATAAAAAAAAAACGTCTATATAATAATTATTTTATGAACATATTTTTTATTAATAAAAAATAACAAGAAAAAAACCTATAAAATGAAACAAAAAATAATAAAACGTTTATAGAATAAAATAAAATAATAACAAAAAATGTCTATACAAAATTTCCTCTTTATTATAGAATAGTTTTTCTATGAAGCATGTGAATCTAAATTAAAATGCGTTCCCTTCCTTTCTCTCGTATCATTTTCAGAAACAGCTAAAATTTTCGTATGAGTGTAAATGTAACTTATCTTAACCATTGCGTATGTCCAAGTGTCCCAACTTTTAGTATAGACTATTTTCTACAAACTTATTTTCGGCTAAAAAAAACTGCGGCATTACTTGTTTTTTTCGAAACACTTCCTGTCAATGAGGGGAAAAAGATAGATAAGTCGCTGAAATTTGTGTCTATGTGGAGCTGCAATTTCATACTTAGTATGTGAAACTTATACCTCGTGTTCCAAGTAATTTGGACCCTACGGGATTGAGTTTTTTATCTTGATCTCTCCCCTTAACCTGAATTACGCTCCCATGAAATCTCGAAAAGCTTTTTTTCCTAATCAAACATATTTAGGAGCTACATATCAATTACAGCTGCCAGAAATGATCGTTGATGACAATATTTTTTCTTTTCTTTCTTTCAGTTCCTTGAATGAAAACTCAACCAATGTCTATATACTGGATTAGATGTATGTATTCTGTTTACTATCGGATATAAGTATAGAGCGAAAATCTCGATCCCGTTGAATTGAGATCGGGATGTTCGTGCAGAACTCTAGTCGAGACTGTATCTTGAAGTTAATTTTTCGAAGAAATTTTCTTCCTTCAGTTGTAATATTAGAAAGCGATTCAGCAGTCTTAATTTCGGATATCTTCTTGTCTTAAATGGCTTATAAACTTCATTTTTTTCTATTTTGTATAGATGTCTCATATAAGCAAAGTACGTATTAGCTATTAAAGGTATTCCATATGAAATTGATCCAATCGTTGCATTTTATGACAATAAAGAATTTTCTAAACTTTCTTCTCTTCATCGTATTCCAGTATTTACAGATGATAAAGTTACATTATGTGATTCATCTGTTATATGCCAATATTTAGAAGATTGTTATCCAAGTTGTAATTTTGTTTCAATATATCCAAATGATATTGTAAATCGAGTTAAAGTAAGATGGTATGAAGAATATGCAGATACTTATATATGAAATATATTTATATGGCAATATTTTAATGATACAGCTATTAAACCGTTTGTTTGGAGAAAAAAAAGCGATCAAACAATAACTGATCGTTCATTAAATATAAAAATTTCAAAAGTGTTACAATATTTTGAAGAAAATGTTCCAAAAGAAGGTTATATGTTTGGTAAAAATCATATGACCGTTGCTGATATTAGTATAGCATGTTTCTTTCGTAATTTATTTATGGTTATGCTAAATTGAATGTCGAACGATATCCATTTATTTTTTCATATATTAATAGAATACTTTGTTTAACATATTTTCAACTATTAATTTCATTTGAAAAAATTAGTTTTTCTACTCCAATTTTAAATCATCGAACGGCATTCGCCCAGCTAAATACTCCGATTAGTAATGAAACATTTGGTGTTGACAAACCAGTACCTAGCGTATTTTCCGACCAAGCATCATCATAAATAAAATAAACTAAAAATCATTATGATTTTTTTACCTAAATCTTTGATTTAAATATTAATAACACTTTGTTAGTTAAAGCTATATTTATCAGAATTAATTAAACTTTCATCTATTGAATATTGAAGACACACTTTTGAAATAAACAATGATTAATAGACGTTGTATTAGATGATCAGGCTACATTCTACAGATGAAATTTAGATTTTGGCAAAAAAAAAAAACATAAAGAGTGTTTCATAATAACTGAGAATAATTTGTCAATGACATATTTCATGCTTTTCTTGGCATAGAAGTCTGAAATTTTTATCGCATATATATCCTCTCAAGATCGTTAATTTTTCAAAGTTTCAGATCCCTAGTTAAAACAAGTGGTGCAATGCATAAACAATATTGACATACATGAATTTTTATATTTGATATTTATGACTTTATTTCTTGAACAATGATAGCTATTATAAACGTATGATGGAAAAACAGTTTATGAGACAAATTTTTTTTCGCAATTTCTGTTTCTAATTATAACGATTTGTCAAACACTTTTCCGTGAAGGTTTTCTTTCAGTGCACTCGACATATATTCAATTCACACCATATATCATCAGATCAAGCATTACTACCTACTAGTTCTATACATTTATAAGTATATTGTGCTACCAACTTTGCAGCCAATACTTCATGTTGCTTTGAGACATTTTTAAATTCAATAGAAAACATTTAAAAGCTTATCTATACTGGTAACTTATGAACATTTAAGATAAAATCTAAAAGACTCGTAATATAAATGCATTTCTTCATAGTTAACATAATGCTTAGCCATTCTGTCGCGATTGAATAAGTAATAATAAAGATATTACAAAAATCAAGTAGAAAAATTCATGTATATCAATCTGGTCTATGTATTTCAGCATTAGTTATAGCTCGAGATCTGAAACTTTGGAAAATTAACGATCGTAGTGAGATATATATGTGATACAAGTTTCAGCCTTCTACCACAAGTAAAGTGTGAAAAATGTCATTGACAAATTATCCTCACTTATTCTAAAACATCCTTTATGGAACATGCAGCTCTAATATACTAGCGAAAAACTTTGAAAGGATTTTTTTCTGAAAAACGTTGCCTTTCTGTTGAACGAAAGGGTGTAGCATCGTCATTTGTGTTTCTCTTTAAATTTTCTAATGGTTTGACATTATTTCATCTTTCCTTGAGCGTCAAGCTCTTACACTTCTAAAACCTATTTCTTTATATTGTATTTTGATGATTTCTAATGGTTGCATATAGCGCTCTTGTACTTATCAGCACAACTTGTTAGCATTCAATAGAAATAAATTGCCTTCAATTTTGTTGAACTCACGTATGTTTTCGAAGAAAATAGTGAGTGTAAGTTTTAAATCAACGTTTCTCTGCTCCTTCCTCCATCACAGACACCCCACCATTACGGACCTTAGCAACCGCAGACAACAGCCTTCAGACTTCTTTATTAATGAAAAAAAGAAGCTGAACAGTATAAACAATAAGAGTTCGACTATTTTAGAACATTTCAACGCCTTCCTCAAAATTTAAAAGACTCCAATATATCTGTTAATGTTCTTAGTAGTGCAGTTGTCGATTTTTGTGCAGACAAAAATTTATATCTAAGATGTTAACGATGATAAGCAGTGATTCATCGATGTTTCACAATGATCACCTAAACAACATACAAAGCGGGATTTGTCAAAGTTATAACTTTGAAGAATAAACAATATTAGTGTTTAAGTTGATCGAGATATGTAATAGTCCGTTGATACAACAGTCTTCTTTGTCAGTTAAATTGATGATTAGAAAAATAATAATGTTGAATTAAGAAAAAAGAATTTGCAAAAATGAAAGATAACGAGAGAATAACAACAATGCGAAACAAAAAATAGGGCGCTCGAACAAAAAGGAAACAAATTCTGTTCTAAATGCAGAGATAAATAAGATAGATTCTTGCTCGGATAATCGATTGTCTTGGAGAATAACTAGTCTACGAGAGATTTTTCATTTTACGTATTCTATATTAGGTTAATGAGACCAAAAGACATCCGTGAGTTTCACATTTCAGCCCCAGCAGGGCTGCGCTAACAAGCTTCTCTTCTAATAAAAATGAGAATATGTATACATTTACGACAATTAACATATTTGACATTTGTATAATTTCTTGTTGGCTGGTAAAGAAGATCCATGTTCAATTTTTGCGAAATATCGGGGAATTCTATCCAAAACTGGATTTCTCACTCTAAGAAGCCATCCTTAAATAGTTCTTTTCAGCTGAATTCCTATGAGATTAAAATGTGAAACACAATACAGCTTTTCACCTTTGTAAAGTTGAAGGACTTGATCTGAAGAGAATATTTTCACAATATAGGTGAAAAACGAAGCAGATCAATCGAGAGACACAACATTCCCGAACATTTCCCCGATATATCAGTCCCTATTCAAAACTTCAACAGATAATATGATCATCATTCACCTACTCTAAATGAAGATCTTTCTGATATGACTCATGATACAGAGTAGATTCCTAGCAGCAATATTGTGCAATGCTCGTGATGGTCTGTGACGCGTCTGTCACGATTTCTGAGGTGTGAATGTGTGTGTAAGTGAACATGCATAGAAGACGGGCACCCACACTCCACCGACAGCTATACCAATGCTTACACCTGCACCCACACCCACTCAAGCTATTCTGTTGCATGAGTCAAGCTAATTAATGGGCTAGATAGAGGAATTCTCTTCATATATTAGTCGCATCTAAATTAGGTAGGCTATCATTTGCCTTAAATTGTGGTTCCCTAAATTACTCCCTAAATAAGTTCCCTATTTGTGTCACTAAATCAAATAATAAATTTCTGGTGACCAGAAAAGTAGTTTTTCATGCAACCCGAAGGTGAGGGCGAAGAAAAGGATATGTTGTTATATATATTATCACCAAAAAATCCCTAAATTAAGCTGGTCACCAGAAGTTTTTTGATTGATTCAACAACCATAAATAGGGAACTCATTTAGGGAGTAATTAAGGGAACCACAATTTAGGGCAAATGATAATCATTCCTAAATTATCAATTACAAAATACAATTTGAAGCATTTATTAACGAAACAAAATATATTTCCCTACATTTTAGACCGTGCTTTACAAGATGGTGAAATATGAACTTTTAAAATGATGACTTCACACTTCTGGTCCTTGAAGTTATGTGTTATGCGGACAAGCCTATACATAAATATATATATTTACTGTTGATTAAGTGAAAGAGTTTTCAATAGTTTATTATTTTCTTCTAATATAATTGTAAATTGGTGAATATAATCATTGTTATAAACAGTTACAAAAAGAAAGAGAAAAAATGCGTTATGCATTTCTCGAATTCCAGACAACACTCATATGATTCTGTTTTAATTGTTGAATTCCATCGAGAATTTTTTGTTGATGATCTTGATTAGTTATTCCATACTGTGTGAGAATATAATGATTAATAAATCGGAAAAGACGGAATCCATCAATGTGATCTTTTCTGAATAAATTAACATAAATATCATAGTTTTCACCAAGTGTTTGAAGCCATCGACAAACATCATCAACAGACCATGTCGCTAAATTGTTACTTTGATCGATGTCTAGAAAAATAACTCATATGAATAATGTCAATTCCGAATATAAAATTAAATGATTATTTTACAGATGAAAATTTAACTTAAATCATTTAATATGATTTTTGTTTGAATAAAAAAAAAACAACTTCTGTTAATCTTTGTTATTTACATAGAATATACTTACATTTATAAATTGATCGATGAATTGAAGTTGACCGTTGAGAAAAGGATGAGGGAATAATAATCTTATCTTGTTTTTTAACACTGGTATCGATTTCGAATTCTGTTCTATTTGAATATAATGTTGATTTATTATCTGTTGGATTTTTGTAGGACAATTTATGGTATATGTTAGATTGAGATTCATGTGATGGTTCATTGTTTAACGATCCAATCAAATTAGCTTCTTGTAATGGTACAATATCAAATACATCATTTAGTTTAGTTGTTGATTCTGAATTCAAATTCGACTTGTCTATAGAAGTTTCTATTGTAACAGGATTGTTTTTCGTTAGAAAAGTCAAAGGAATAATTGTTGGATAGATATTCTTTGGTTTCCAGTTTTGTCCTTCATAGTCAATCCATTTCGATAACGTTTCAATAAATTTTTTAGCATAAATTTGATCAACCCATTGAGCAGGAAGATTTTTATATCCATAATAGGCTCCAGCTAATTGACCATAAATAGCTGCTGTTGTATCTGTATCATCACCAAGATTAATAGCAGCAAGAACACCTGTTTTGAATGAATCTCCATCAGCCCAAAAAGCCCATAAAGCAGCTTCGAGAGCACTAACAATATATCCCTTGCCTCTAATACCATCATCGTATCCTCCTTTTTTCTGATACGATCCTTGAGCTATTTCCATGATGTCTGAATGAAGAGGTTTACCACTGAACCAATTAATGTGTTGAAAGTAAAAATTTTTGTCAAGCAATTTATCTTTTGTTTCACCATGAAGAGCAGCAACAATAAGAGCACCATAGTATCGACAAGCATCATAGGCTTTCTGATCACCATGTGTTATTTGTCCGCTAATACCAGAATATTCTACAGCTTCAATTGGATATTTGTAGAAAAATAATGGTACAGGAGCAAGACGCATCAAAGCTCCATTACCAGCTACACCTTCTGTGCTACACATAACATCAAATTTTTCAAGAAGATTTAAATCTGATAGAAAATCTATTTGATTTATTGGAATAGAATTCTTTTCAGCAAATTCTTTTTGTCGACGTCCAAACTCACGTAATGAATCACTAGTTGCTGCACCAATATCAAAACAGTTTCCTGTTGAAGACATATAACCATTGAGATGCCACCATTTATATCGAACTAATTGATCATAGGGTAGAAAATCACGACGAGCAACTAAAGAGTTGGCTAAACAAAGAGCCATCGATGTATCGTCGGTAAACTAAAACATACATTTATTAGAAGTTCTTAGAGTGAATTTAAATTTCTATTCGTGTTATCAAATAATATTAATGGAAAAAAAAGAAAGTTTTTCTTCAATCTTTTAGAGATAAATCGATAATAATGAGAAAACTTTTTCGTCCAACTAATGAAAATCCTACCAATACTAATTTGTTTATTGTTCAATAAAAATCTGTAGAAAGACAAACTTGAAATAATCATTATTAAATTTCAAAAAAACAAAAGTTTTTTTTTTCAAATAAATGATGTTATGCCTTCAAAAATGAATAAAATAAGAATAAATTTGATTGTTTAATAAATAGATAATGAGAATGATGTTAAAGATTAGTATTTTTAATATAAAATACAACTAAAAATACTTGTCCTGTATTGAGACCCCATGTTCCTCCTCCAATGAGATCTTCAACTGGATGTTCACGTAAATATTCTCTAGGTCGAAATTCTACATGAGCTCCAAGAGCATCACCTAAAGCCATTCCAATCATTGAACCTTGAATACGATCGAGAATTTGAATATTATCATTTATAATAGGATCTTCCATATCGTTTTCGACTTCATCTGGTTTCTTGATTGATGTATGTTCCAAATCATGATATTGACAATCGAGCCATTGCTTATCTATAATAAAATAAACATTTCTTCTTTTTCAATAAATTTACTATGTCAAAGACACAAACGATGATTTTTACTGTAAAAATTAAAGATTTTCTTCTAATTTACCTGTTCGAAATAGACATGCAGGATGATTATTAAACAATTGATTTGTTTCTAAAATAAATAGGTTTATAATTATAATACATTATAGATATTATTGTCTAATAAAATGTTATAGTCAGTTAGAAAAATCGAAAAAATAAAACGATAAATTACTATTATTAAAGCTAAGAGGTTGATCAAGTTGTTGCAAATCTTGATTTTTGATTGATTTATCGATATGAATCGAACTATTATGTTCCCTATCACTAGACATATGAAGAGCATTAAGAGATTCTTGATTTTCTTCATCTTTAATTGACTCTGATGGATATTTGAAGATATGATGACAAGGAGAAGATGGAAAAATTTCAAATGTTGAATTTTGTCCATTAATTTGTTCCATAGTTGATATTTGATAATACAATATATTATACTGACTGTGATCTTCAATAATCTATCTTTAACAATTAGTTTATCTAAAATAAAATATACTTAATTAAAGCTATTTTGTTCACTTCTTTATTTTTCTCTAACAACTGCATAGAATAGGGAGTGGATGTGGGTATGGGTGGTATGGGTTAAGTTACAATGACTTCACATCAGTCGATCCATATCCACCCTTCAGGCTAGTTTTTAAATGAAGCTATAAATTAATGTGAGTGTGAACACTATTTCATATGTTGGAAGATAATCTTGTCTGAAAATGATGATTTTCGTCAATAATTCAATTAAAATAAGAATCTCGTCGAAGAATACAAATTTATACGAATGTTCATTATTAATTAATAATGCACATCTCTACTAATTGCAACTTGTGTTGAAATCTCAGCGTGATACTACTCTCCAATGTCAAGATATGAAGCGTCAAAATGATCCTAAAATAAGAATTTTTTGTTGTTTTTTTTTCAGAGGTTTATCAAACATGAAGGAAAGAATTGTTTGAGTTTTTAAGTTGTTTTTTTCTGAGTGTAACTCATTCGTATATAGATTTAAGAAAAAGTCCCATTTGTATCGAATAATCTGTTATTGATAAAGAGAATCTAGCGAAGTAATGTATTTAATAATTTTCGTAGAATATTTATAAATAATTGAGAATTCAATATATCTGAAAGCAATTTGCATCAAAATTACTAAAAGCTTTGCCAATATAACATATCTTAAATTGATCAAGATCGAATCATTCTGATCATTCGTTGATCAATGTAAAAATTTTCTATAATTCATTAAAAAATCTTTCTTAATCTAATTGATTTCGATATGTTTTTAAACCTCGTGTATTCGAAGTGACACTATAAATTATTCATAGAATTTTAATGATGAAGAAAAAAAATCGTAAGACACACATCCAAAAGTTTATTTCGGGAAAATCTTACAACTGATGAGTTTTGACACAAAATAAACATATAAGAAGAAAAGAAAAAACATTAACAAGTCGACAGATAAATCGACTACATGCTTTTATCTTAGAATAAGGCATGTACACTACTCGAACGTTCATGTTTCAATTCGGATTTGATCTTGAATAAGATTATTTTCAGTTAATTAATAAGAGAAAGTAAAAGTAAGCTAAAAGAAAGAATTTAAGGTCTGCCTATGTAGGAATCTATACGCAATTAAATAAATTATCCAAAAATCAAACATCTGCAAACATACTTTTAAAAAGTCAACAATCTTCACAAAAGAATTCTCATCGGAAACCCTAAATAACCGATATAGTAGACGATCTATTACCAGATCGTTGACATTTTTTTCAGTTCTTTTTCTGAAAAAGTTGATCATGTAAGCGGTTTTTTTCACAAATAAAATCATTTCTATTCAGCAGTTGTCAGAACTTAGTTTTTCAGTATTTATTGGCACTTTTTAAATAAATTTTTGTGTCTAAGTCTGTTTTGAAATTTATCAGAACTTGAGGGTCTGATTATATGTGTGTCACACATTTCTATAATAATCCTGATCAAACAATAATACATTCGGAATAAGCCCAGTAGGATAGAATTATTCGATATTATGCGGATACATTTTAAATATACAAGTTTTTATAGTATAATTAGTTAAAATAGAGTTGTAATTAACAAAAAATAAAAAGAATGAAGAGAATAAGAATTCGAACATTAGATGTATGATGTGAGAAGCGATCGTCCTAACCACTGAGTTATTCAATGTTGTTAGTTAATTATCAAAATTTTCGAACGGTATAACAAATAACGAAGTAAATCTATTGTTATAAGCAGAGTACATATACAGATGGGTTTGAATTTCTATGTCTGACCAACATTTAATTCATCTACAAAGCTAATATAGAATCTAGAGTTCTATGAAATGTTTTCTTCATTGATAGATCCCAACAAAGAGAATATTTTATGATAATATATAGTCAAAAAAAAGATTTCAGTACAATCTCTACAGGATTATAATATTAAACATGATTGAGCTAGATTAGCCATTATAGGAAAAGAGATTAACTATATAAAAGACCATGATCAGACCAAAAAACAACAAGTCGGAAAATCCGCTAAGTCGTTATAGATTATGACAGAGACATATAGACAGATCTGTCATGCTCTCTTTGTTGAACAAAATAACATCAACATGTTTGTTGTCGCCTTCGAAGTAAGATGGAGAAAATCGATTGAATATTATCATAATATACTTCCAAACTTTCTAACAATCATTTTTCACTAAAGTACTATTATGGTCAAACAGGAGCTTTGCTTTATTTTTGTGGTGATTTAGAGGTAGATATGAATAATCGAGAAGTTGATTTGACTCTTATAGGATCGAATAAGTGAAAAATGCCTCATGCCGATCTATCTAAGCTTATCCGAACGTCCGAGTGTTTCCATAATAGCTCGTATATGTTAAGAAGTGCTTGGGCAAATAGCCAAGTAGGTGATACTCTCTAAACCAACTGAATAGTTTTCGAGTCTGAATCAGAATGCGAATCGTTTGTTTCGAAGACCGATACAAAATTCGGGTTCGGTACATGACTATTAAGAATAAGAAGTATAATGATAGACACTACACTATGAATCATCATGTCTCAAGGGCAAATGATTCTCTTGTTGGATTTCTTTCGAGCGAATTTCGTCGAAATCTGACAAATCTATCAAAATTTCTATGAAGAGTCGTAAGAATTCCGTAGAATTCGCTGTTCATAACTGGATAAAATGTTTTCTGACGAGTATAGAACAGAATTTAATCGGAATAATTTTTATCAAATAAAAGCAAACATAAGTTGGTTAGAGCTGTAATTACAAAAGAATAGACGAAAAAATACATTACCAGTTATATTTGAGCTGATGTTTAATGCTGAAGAATAAAGTAAAGATATAAATGATTTCATGAGGAAGAATAAAACAAGATTTTTCTTTTTTCGTTTTTAAATAGACCATTACCATGACATGTCTCGTACCTTTTTGTTTTTCTTTCTTTTCTACGCGTCGTATGCAAGACGAAGCTTCTACACGATTGATACGTTTTTGACAACAACATTAACAAAATATTTATGTGAAGAAAAAGGTTATTTACAAAAGAACAGGAAAAAAATGTTACATTGTCAACAAAATTTTATTCAGCGAAAAAAGAAACCAGTCAAAAATACATGATGACAATTTCGTCTAATCAGATATACTCATCGATAGAAAAACAGGGTGTGGGTGCAGATAAAAAGAAGACCCGCACCCACACATACTCACACACGCCCAGATCCAGACTCACATCCTCCATTTTTTCACTGCTTTCCAGTAAAAACGGTTTTCGAAGCTGAGGACATACTCAAAAGTTTAAATTTTTTTGAAGCAAATCTTTTGTCAGGAAACACGAAATGCTGAAAATGAACATTTTTTTTTTGATTTTTCGAAAAATCAGTGTTTTCCGTCTAACTTTGTCAAACTTAGTCGCAACTCCACGATTTTTTCAGAGAATATAGCACTCATTGTTGGCCACATTTTGGTAAAAAATGAGATCTCTACCTACTAAGGAAGACAAGATATTGCAAAAACGAAAAGTGGGCTAAAATTATGTTGTACACTTTAGTTATGATACAAGAGAAGAAGAAAAAGTCTAAGATAACTATGCGAGAATGCTCAAGTCAGAGATAAAGTAGATGATTAATAAGTTTTCGTTTAAAAAAAGTTGTATTTCTTACTATTTCAAACTTAATCTAATCTTATTTAAAAGTGAAATTCGACAGTTTTTCTATATTTGATTTTGAGCAATTAATGTTCTATACCGACATAATATATTTAGGATTGAGTGTTGGATTAAAAAAACGAAATACAATATTTGAAAAGAGTACATCAATGAAAATTACACAAAAACCTTCTGTCTTTTCATTTAATCAAGACGGATTTAGATATGAACAAATCAGAAGAACAAGCAATTAAATCTGCAACATTTCTCATCTCATCTCATATCAAATGAAAGATACAACTCTTATTATTTGCAATGTTATAATGAATATTAGTTTTTTTTCTAATAAAAAAAAGAACTTTTAATTTATTTTTAGCCAAAATCCTATTTAAATGGCGTTCAAAGTTCATTGAAGACTAATAGAATTTTCATGTCTTTTATTTTTTCGGCATCTCGGCCATTAAAAAAAAATAATCATCGAAAGTCAAATAATGACATATGATGGTAAAAAAATAATCGGTACTCTAATTATTATTCGTAATTCTTATATGCAGCTTTTTTCCCAAAAATGTTTAAACGTATGTGATGTCAAAAAAATTAGTTTCATGTAAGCAAAAAGGATAATTCATAACTGTCGAAAAAAATTTATTGTCTCCTCTTATGATAAACACACTATTGAGAGAAAAATGACCGACAGAAAAGAAAACACAAACTGTATACGATGATCTACGAAGTTACCCAAGTGAGCAAAAGACGGGGTAAATGACTAGCCTTTTTCTAGTCACGTCGACCAGTCCTATCTAGTCTTTGTCTCAAAATCGACTTGTCCATGACTAGTCCAGTCTTTTTTTAAAGAAAGACCAGTCTAGAGCTGATCTTGAGTCAGCTCATATACGAGGTTGTTATCTAATATACAGACTAGTCCTAGACTAGGACTTTTGGAGATAAAGACTACTCAGGACATGTGACAGGGACACCCGTCCGAAAATGATTTAAAATTGAAAAAGTAAGGACGTCAGGCTTGACGGTACATAGGATAAATTGTAGTCTTATGTAGTAGACGAGTCTGGACTACTCTAAATGGAAATATGTAAGGATCAAGGTTAGATTCGAACATGCATACAATGTATCACTTTTTCATCATTTAGACCAGTGAGCTATGTGATCAAGACACCAATTTCTACATACTCATAGTCATTCTAAGACGTTATTTAATACAGTTTTACTTAAAGTTTTTAAAGTTCTCATATGAATAAAAAATTATCTTTTCCACAATGCGAGATTATTTAGACAACATTAAACAAAGTGAATTTTAAAAAATGTCATATTTTTTGGACAAATATCTTTTGATTATTATTAATTAATTACATTAAAAATATAAATTTTAAATGCAAAAATAAAAAGTTATTTATATCGAAAAGAAACTAGACTTTTTTATATGGTGGTTTAATTTGATTTCAAATTAAAATCATCGTATCTTCAACTAACAATTAAATTAATTTTGCTTAATTTAAATTTATTCTTAAATTTAAAATTGTCAGAATTTATATTTAAAAATAAAATAACATAAAATTATGATATAAAAAGTTTAAATTATTTTCTAAGGTTTTTTGTAAAATTTAGTATATGAAAAAAATCTTAGAATATATAAATTAACATTCTTCGTTACGAGATAAATATTGTTTTTTGGGATGTGGGTGTGACTGGGGTGGGTATCATTGTCTTCTTCACACCCACACCCCACTACCGATCGCCCATGATTGATCTTTTACCGTTAAATGAATGGCATCCCTATGAATCGGAAGAAGGGTATAATTTACTGTTTGAACAAGTAGTTGCAGATGAAGGTCCAGAGTTAATGAAAGAAGATTTAAGAGAACATCTGAAAATATATGATGGTAAGGAAGAAAATATCAAGAAAAAAGAATTTAAAGAATTGCAAACTGAATTATTGGTCATTGGTAAAGTATGGCTGATTATTATGAATAATATTTTGCTCAGATTGCGAACTGGTACAATTTATCTAGAAATTTTGAATATACCAAAATAGAATGAAATTGAAACATTTAAAGACTGGATTGAAATGGCATTAGGTAGTGAAATTAATTCAGAATAAGATGATGATAATGATGACTGATCGTATTTTTGAGTGGATCTTCTATTAAAAGACTTTTTTTTTGTCAGTAAGAGTATTCTTATTATTAAAAACAATCAGACCTCAAAGTACAGATGTAGACATCTTACATTCTCGAATAATAAATATATCTGAGTGAATTGCAATCATTCAGTACGATTGAAATTCAAGTTGTATTTACCTGATGATTTTTGTTTCCATTAACTGATTTAGACAATTTTTTGATAATCTTCTTCTTTCTGATTCTCCTATACCCACACCAAATTTTAGATCTTTAACTCATATCATCGTTGAATTATGTACTTTTCTTTGTATTTTATTTTGAGGCAATTCGTCAATGAGTTCTTCACTGTCGTTCAGATTAATGATTGTTACTATTCTTGAGGAAAGGTAAGGGTTAGCCAGACAAACCTAGACACATTTCAATCCTGTTTAAAGATCTCATTACATAGTTTTGAGTTCATATTCAGATGTATTGTAAAATAAACATTCACTCTATTTTAGTCTGTATCTTGATATCTTTTGAAGTAGATCGTTGATCAAATATTCATTGTTATTGAGGTCGGCAATTGTTGTCATGACTGTGAAAATAGACGTTTTAGCACAGAAGAAAAATAAGAAGTAGTGTAACTACAGAGAATAGAATTTCTACTATTCTAGACCGGCCTATTGATTGGTCATCGTTCGAACGGCTGGTCCGATCTAACAAAGCGAGATCCATACATGTACTGGTCGTCAAAAATCCAGACCAGTTCCATCTATGGTTTGGATGGGTATGTGGGTGGATGGAGTTGATGAGAGTGGGCATGAGCGATAAGAGAATATGCATACCTACATCCAGCATCTACTCACCCACTCCTCGCCCCCCTCTCACCCATCCACACCCTCAATGCGGTTTTCACAGTCGCCTGGATACAGCTAGACATTTATTTCTTCTTTTCTATTCTTCTTTCCTTTATTCGCACAATTTTTAGCGCACAAGAAATGTCTTAAATCTGTGCAAGACCCCCATCGACAAAAAGTTCAATGCCTGTAACATAACTACTATCGGACGATGCGAGAAAGACTACTGCTTTAGCAACTTCATCGGGCATTGCAATACGATTCATCACAGTAGCAGCTACCAGGCGAGCGCGTATCATTTTCTTTTCCTCTTCACTGTTTCCGAGACTTCGCAATCCAGGTGTATCGATTGATCCTGGCTGCACAATATTCACTCGAATCTTACGCTCTTTCAAATCGACCGTCCAACAGCGAGCGAAAGAGCGTAGAGCCGCCTTACTAGCAGCGTAAATGCTAGCGCCTGAACCACCTTTGACGGCGGCAACAGATCCATTTAAAATGATTGATCCACCATCAGTGAATATCGGCAAAGCTTTTTGAACGGCAAATAATGCTCCTTTCACATTAACGTTGAATGTATCATCGAAATTTTTTTCCGTGATCGAGCCCAGTACTGCAAATGAGCCAGCCGCTGCATTGATGAAAAGAATGTCTAAACGACCTTTCTCTTTTTGAATGACACTGTAGAAGTTGTCAAGATCGACCATATTGGATACGTCACCTTGTATGGCACTCACATTCTTACTATCAATTTTCTTCACGGCTTCGTCAAGTACCTCCTGGCGACGTCCAGTAATGAAGACATGTTCCACATCTTCAGCGATGAACCGCTGAGCAGTGGCGAAACCGATCCCTTTAGAGCTACCGATAATAAGAGCGATCTTTCCGTCAAGTTTGCCCATTTTTTGTTGTTGCTGTTTTGATAGTCAGAGTATTTGATTCACAGTTGTTTGTCGATTTGTTGTGTAGAAAGATAGACACCTTTGCACGTTATATATATAAATAAACATCACTATCATGCTGACGATTTGTTTCGTTCTCTTAGGTAACTATGCTGACACAACCGACGGAACTTAGGTAAATAAGCGAAACAATGTCAAATGCATTTCGTGGGTCTCCCTATGGATTTTTGTCAAAGACCAAAGATTCCGTTAGTGCTAGTCGATAGAGAAAATTTCTCTCTATCGAACTGGATTATTCAATTTCAATAACTAAATTCTTATTGATGCAGAGATTTCTATGTATGGTTTTCCATTCACATACTATTATTTATTTTATTCGATTGTTTAGATCTTGTTTTGGTTTAATGATGCAAAAAAAAATGAGTGATTTCTATGATATTTCCAATCAAAAAAAAGATACGATCGATAAAAATATAATAACAATCTCATTGATGTCGAAATGATTGAGAAGTTTCATTCTAATCCAATAGATATGGTTTCTCCCGATATAATTTCCAGATAAATTCTCCAAAAAGACTATTAGCCCAAGCGAACCATGATCGTGTGAATTGTTTTGGATTATTCATATTGATAGATTCATGCATGAAACCTGTGTTAGCATGAGATTTTTCGAGCATTTTGAGACAAAAACGAATTTCATCATCATCAGTCGATGTCATACCACGCATGATAATAGCCAGAGGCCAGACCATTCCAAATCCAACATGCGGTCCCCCCACTCCTTTGAACAAGTGAGAAGAAATTTCGTACATGATGAGTTGAGAAAAGTCTCACCTTCGAGAACAGTACCTTTGGAAAACCACGGATTATCCTTGCTCAAGATAAACATACGCGTATTAAGGTATATTGAATGGTTAAGAGATATGTCATTGGGACATAAATAGGGCAATGAAAGAAGTGATGGCACATTGGCATCATCCATTAAAAGCGATCTGCCCATGCCGTCAATTTCATAGGCGTAAATCAGACCATACTTGGCATGCTTCACTGTAACTGAATTGAAAGTGTGTCCGTCAGAATCAACATTAAAGAGTACTCTACGTAAACTAATAATTAATGAAGAAATATCATGAAGAAAATATTTTGTCCAATTAAGCTTTTGAACTAGTTCCAACAGAAGTTTCAACGTATGATGAGCGAAGAATTGTGATGGAACGAGATAGGGATATATTTGCAAATCATCACTTGGTCGAAAATATGAATGAATAAGACCATTCGGTCTAGCTGGATGTCCACGTGGATCACGTGGATAACCTTGTCGTTGATAAGTGTAAGGACCTAAAAACAACAAAAGGTAACATTAATTGGTGGCAATATGCAACGATTGTATGTTTGTGATCCAGTACGAAATAATGATGGAGAACTAAATGAACCGATGAATATTTGCAGATAATCTTAAATAATATCAATTTGTATTTGAAATTGGAAATTCAACTTTGAAGAATCGATCTAAATTCGAAATATTTCGGATAAAAGTCGATTTCGACTTACAAGCAACTCGTTAAATTATTGTCTTTCAAGAAAATCAACTTAATGATTTCAAATTCATTGCCGTGAAAAGTTCGATAAATAACTGTCCAAAATCTATCCATTCATATTTCAGAAAATATTCAACTAAATCTGTCGCAAAGAGCATGGATTATTCTTGAGTATCAATAAAAATCGATATCAGAATAATGAACTCATATTTTTGCATTAATGTTGACTATACTACCTAAATTATGAAATCTTTGCTGCTCTTTCATTGTCTTCAAAATAATGCGAATAGTTCTCTGGAATATTCGACTATTTTGATGAAAGAATTTTGTATCACGATCGACTTCATTCCAATATGAATGCATCAAGCGTAAAACATAGCATAAAGAATCTAATTCCCATTTACGTTCATGAACACCAGGACGCATATCCGTTTGATCCATGCTTTGCCATTCACTAGTCCTATTGGTATATTTGTAATGAGCATTAGCGTACGGATCGCGTTCAACACAAAGACATTGTCGCAAAAGTACACCTTCGATTACCAAACGTAATTGTGCATCTTGTTTCATTAAAGGTAAATAGGGATGTACTTGTGCACTGGAATCACGTAACCACATAGCATCAATATCACCAGTGATGACATAAGTATCTGGTTGATGTTGAACAGTAGTATTATTTCGCTGAAATTCAATCGTAGTATCTAATGTATTAGGGAAACAATTTTCAAATAGCCACGCAAGTGCTTTGTTTTTAATACGTTTCTTTATCTCTTTGATTAATGATTCTACTGCTGGACTAATAAATCGGCGATGATTAGCTGCAAGACGTACTTTTGGGAAATTAAAATTCATTCGCTTTTTGTTCATTGTCGCACGAGTACTATTCTGGATATTGACATTTAACATCACATTTTTCGAACGCGTATTTTGTGGCGAATGCTTCTTATATGAGATACTCGCAGTAGCATGATGTAAAGAGTGTGTAGATGACGGCAATGAAGATGTAGAGGTCAATTTTGTCCATAATATCACAACTGTTAAAGTGATAAACATACCAAGTAGAATTCTGATCAGAGAGTATCGCTGACAGCAGAACAGATCTGTGAATTGCAACATTGACTAAATATAAGCAGAACTTTAAAAAGTATGCCTTTATTATTGTGAATGTAATAAGAAGCATTATATGTCTTGTTGATATTTATTTAGGAATAGCTTGTAATCTTTGTTCTTCTTATCTTTTTTTTTAAAGACTCAATAAATATCGAATATCGCAAAACATTTACATACATTTTATCTTGTCTGTACGTTAGTATAGTTCAATGGTAAAACTTTGATCACGTTTTTGAATGATATACTCTCGAATTTTCAACAAACTTCAGTGGAGCTTGGTTGACAACAACGAATGTGATATTTTTGTAAGTTATAACCACATCCACATCCTATCTGTAGCTCGTGATAAGGTCAAGCGTGAAGCACTAGACTCAAATAGATTATACAACTTAAATCTTTGACGATTCTAATGAACTATTTAAAATTAAAGTTCGAAAAATTGTATAACATACATTGTTTTGTGTCTAAGAAGTTTCGGAGAGACAGAGGATGACGCGAAGAAAACTCCTCAGTACAATCATGTATTTAGCATTTGGATATGAAGTGTGAGTTTCGTGTAGATATCATATCATTCTTGTCTTGATAAGAAGGTTGAATCAATATTTGACATGGTTAAATACACTTCTTTTATTTATTTAATTTGATATTAATAATAATATGACATTAACAAAAATTTTTAGTGACGTTTCGTACCTTGATAAGATACTTCGTCAGACATTAACATTAGAACAAGTCAAGATGATCAAATGGATGAAATATTGTGTATATATATATTTTATGCCTTTATAACATGTGAAATAATATAGTTTGATGAGAGATTAAATATTTTTGATTGATTGACTGAAATATTTTTTCTTTCAAATCTTGAAAACACCGATTTCAAATTAACGACAATTTCAAAAACTAAGCACTTGGAAATCAACCTAGTGAGCCGTCATATTAATGATCGTACCTTTCGAAAAAAACACTTGAAGTGCTAAAAAAGAACTAACAATTTCCTCTGTAGCTTCTAAATTCTCACTGGAATTGCTCACACAGCATGCTTATCGTTGTATTTTCTATACTTCGAGTGAGTAAACACTGTCATCAAATTTAATTTATATTAATAGACTTTATAAAAAACCAATAGGTTTTTATCCTTATATATATATGTACTAGAATCTATTCATTTATTTTCCTCACAAATCAATGAAATAAAATGCTTTCTATTTTAAATAATTATTAACAATTAAATGCCACTTTATATCTAGATAACTTGACTAAAGAGGTTGCTGTATTCAATTAGATAGAATTCTATTCTGACTTATAAATAGATGCGTCGAGAACTATACATATGTATTTTTTGAATGTATTACAAAAATAATAGTTTCCTAGAGTGCAATGGAGTCAAGAGAAACAGATTTCACTTAGTTGAAAATAATAATTATTTTAATGTAGTGACTGATGCATCGAATGTGCTTCTCTTAATGGTTATTTCTGCAAACATTGTGTCACATTATGATGGGTGCTAATTTCACTAATACTCTAGAATTGTTTTTGAGCTAAACTTCGATCGACATATAATTGAGATCATTAAAATGTATCGTAAACTTGTAGATCAGTTGAGAAAACAAGACTTTTTATTTTTTTTATTAAGTTTGTAAGAACAGTCCTTTTTATACGTAGATGAATTGAGGCACTAATTACGCTTTATGATAAAAGTTAGAAACAAGAGTTCCATTGAGTCAAATTTGTTCCGCTCTACCAAGTTTTACAACTATAAACAATATTAGTCTTATTAGTTATTTAACTCCGTTTGATCTATTTCTTCTTCAGTGCTTTTACTGCCTTGTCTACTTTTACTTTCTTTAGCCATTTTCTAATAAATAGTACAAAAAAAGAAAACAAATATTCAAAAGAATAAATGACAAAAAGAATTAAGACGCAAAAAAAGAGAAATAATAAAAACGATCATCAAGGATAGATGAAACAATCCGTGTTGTCAAAATCGTCAGTTGATCGTGTTCGATAAGCGATTTAAGGAAATACCGACAAATCGCACTTAATCAGTGATTATTCGAATAACTGCAATTAATTGACGATTTTGTAAAAGACTAGAGCAGTAAATGTAAATCTATAAAAAAAACATCTTTTTCTTTTATTTTAGATCAATTTCGACACCAAAAATGGGATGTATGTACGATCATTCAAATACTTTTAAAACTTTTTTTATTTAGACAGATTCCTACAACAACAGGAATCGTAAGTATTATTTACATAAATATATTGTCTTTTTTAGTTAGGTTAATTCCGACAACAAAATGAAATGTAAATGATATTTATATATATATATTTGTTTTTCTTTTTTTAGTCCAATATGAAATTAAAAATAATATGGAAGTATTATTCAAATAAATGATTTCTTTTTTTATTTAGATCCATTACAATAACGAGATCAAAACTAACTTTGAGGCACACCACATCAACTTGTCAACGTTTGCTTTTACATAACAAGAAAGAACTTTTAAAAAAATGGTTGTATCATGGCCGGTAACTTTAAATGTTCTTCTAAACAAAAAAACAAATCTTAGATGGTTCTAATGAAGTTCCAGAGAAAATTTTAGATTGATAAATAAACAACAAAAAATATCTCATTTGGTAACCTAAACTTTTTCCGTGGAGCTTCATTTGAACAACTTAGAATTCGTTTTTGGTTCAGAAGAACATGTACAGTTGTGAGCCATGACACAGAAGTTTCTCAAAAAATTTTTGTTGTTATGTAAGGGGAAAGGATGACAGATTGAATTGGTGTGCCTAAAAAATCAGTCTCGAGGATGGATCAATTTCATACACATTTTCATAAATACTTGCATGGATTTATGCAAGAACTTATTATACGTTGCATTTTAATAAACACTTTAAGAGTTTATTATTCTACGTTTTTTTTTATATTGTATTAAGTGTTATTGTTGGCATCATGGAAGAAATTTTACTTGTTATTAAGTAAAAAAATACATGTGTAGTTTTTCATAGATAATTTTTATTTGTCACCTAGGGAATAATAAGAAGTCAAAACGAACTCTATAAATGAATGTCTGTCGATGCACATACAGCAAATTTTTCAAAACTAGTCAGTTTAAACTCTGAAGATCCATATCCTATAAATAAAATACAGAATTGCAGCCTTTTTGAGGATGTGAGTGTGAGACAACAGAAGGTGTATACCCACACACTCATTCACCCACACTCACGCCCTTAATAGTAATATTTTCTTACCTTATCCGTATGAAAAGAAACTTTGAATAAACTTATGCTACTAAATAAAAAATGATTACATATAATTGAACTAATGTACCAAGATATTTCATGTTTTTTATTGTAATGCTATTTATGGACCATCCTGTATATTTAAATAATCGCGATTTGTTATGAAAACTAGAAAAAAAAACTCAGCAAAAATCACCGGTTTTGACGATTTAATCGCGATCAAATCATCGAGTTTCACGCGATCTTAATGACATGAGTACTTATTTAAAAAAATTAATTTTATTTCGCCAAGTCGATTGCTACAAAGCACAAGTGAAGACTACAAAATTGATTTGTATTTTTCATCTACAAATCAGTTTATTTTTCGATTGGTTCAAAGATTTTATCATGCGCTTATCAGTATGTATATGAGTGATGGAGAAAAATCGAAACATAGAGAAAGAAACAAACAAGTCTCGATCTCATCTCTCTTTCTTTTTAGACACATATGAGTTACTTTTCATTTTAATAGCGTATCGTCTTTGCTTTGCTTCTTTCATCATATACCTTACTACGCTATTCAGCTTGTCCAAACGTGACGTTGTTACATTTTTGATACACTTTTTTCAATTATCTCAGAAGAGTTGAAAGCTAGAAAGTTCGTTCAAATGCCAGTTGACGCAGCTATCACACTTTATTTATGTCATAAGAATGCCTTTTTTTGACTAAAATCTCGGACTTCTAGGAAGGCTTTATCATCGCGTAACCTTGTTACATAAAAAGACCTTTCTTCTTCAATTCCACTGATAAGACTGGAATTTCTTGCGAAAATATTTCTCTCCAAATGAAACATTTCTAGAGTCAGTTTTAAAGAGCATCGAACAGTCTTTAAAGCAGTAAAAATAGATTTTCTCTAAACTATTTTTGCTCACATAAAAAATGCAATAAGCAAACGTAACCATGTTACATAGTTTTTTGTCGACCAATTTTGAGATACTTAACGTGTTCAAAAATACTTGATTTTCATCAATATTGATCTTCTCTGTATATATAATTGTTCTACGCAAGAATCAAATTACTACATCAAAACGGGAACTCTTTAACTATACAGTAAGTTGAAAACTGTACAAGTTACCCTTAGCGACGAAAGTCAAAAATAAATTAGCCATTTTGTAGAGAATTAAATTTTGCGTCGAACAGTATGTTACTTCGCATTTTTTTGAAAAAATTTCCTAGCTAGGAAATTCAAGATAGAATTTTTGAACAGTTTCAAAGCCAGTTCTCGATGTCAAAATTCAATTTAAAAAATAATGTATTCAGATCTGACCAACATAAAAAAACAAAATTTTCAAAAACTTGACCAACGAAGTGTCTCATTACGTGGACAAGACGTATTTCCTTCTTGTGATCGAAATGAATTTAATTTTCGCTGAGAATCGCCACGTCAGTATGATTTTCTGCCTCTTTCCTCTGATACAATTAACAAGAGATGCCTTCATTTATTTGGACAGTATAAA